GAGCTCAAATAACGCCATGGGCACTTTTCAAATACAATTCTCAACGTGGGTTACTTCCGGACTAAGGCAGTGGTAGTCCTCTTACACAAAAAACAAAAAGATGAAAACAATTACAGGGGTATATTTTTGCTCCCATCAATTACTACAGTTTGATGTCAATTTTCTTTACGGGGATCGATGTAAATTCGCTTAATGTGAATGAAAAAGCGGGGTTCAGGAAAAAAACTATTCCACCGTAGATAATCTTTTAATTGTGGGCAGTATCGTTGTGAACTGAGAACTATTTTAATAGTTATTTAGGACTACGATTACCAAATATTATGAACTGAAAACAGACTTCTCAAGGTAGAGTGAACCAAGTGAGTATCGGTCACCAAATCCGGGGAGGAGAATAACGCATGCACTGGAGAGGAGTACTTGTAACTGAGATGTTTTATACTCAACTGCCAGGCCTGGAACTGAGTCTAAGTAGTCACGAGATGTTCCATACAATGTATCAATATCATTATGCAAATAAGTAAATTAAATCACATTCTTTTATAACCGATTTGAAAGTTAATGATTGTAAAGTTTTGAAACTCGTGTACAAAAATACCATGTTGTGCGTCAGAACAACCGATTTTGGTTTCTTAAAACGAATGATTTGATTTTCCCGACGTTTACACATATATACTTTCACAAAACACAGATAAAAATCTATGGCTAGTAAAATACTATTCGCACAAAAAAGGTAAAATATTCGTGAAAATGGGATTTTTGAGTAGTTTATCGTTGGTCCTCACCATATCTCAAAATTTTGTTTGATTACTTTTGCGGAATAGAATCAAGAATTATTAGGACATTCTGGTGATTGTTGTTTTTCATGATTCGAGAAGCGAAAGATTATTTTTCACAAATATTGTAAATACATATAATTCTGTTGTAAGTGGTGAGTTGGGTCGGTATGATCCCTGGATCAACGGCATAATGGGATGACTGCATAGCAAATCAATGCAAATGTTTTGGGCCAAACAGATGAACCAGACACAAACTATTACTGACATGGAATTTCTTTTATCTGTAAAGAATCAAATTACTAACTTGGCTTGGCTTGGTAAAATGCTAATGTATTCTCTCGCGGCCTTGGTTCACCGTTGGGCTGCGAATAAAAAATTGCAAAACATCATTTCAATGCCTGAGAAGATATTGATTAGCAGCACTGGCAAAAAGTTGAATAAATTAAATATTAATGATCGAATCTGCATAGGTGTTTGGTCTGCAATTGAAGACAGGTACAAGTTATGCATTGAATTCAAATAGATAACAACTCCCTCAGAGTAAATTGCTTAGTATAAAAGTTTGCTTTCAGGAATCGAGATACGTATATGTTTTCATGTTATTATTTAGTTTTGATGTCATCTGAACTTTTGTTGTATACTTTTGTGCCGCTGGTATAGTGCGTTAATATGTACTAAGTAGTTCTAATAAGACTAGACCGCTTGAAATCGGGGGGGGGGGGGCTGTTCATATGCTCTTTTCTCAATATGCCGATACTATTTCAACTATGCATGTGCATGTTTTAGACACTTAATAATAGTGTTATTCAGTTGAGATCAAATAATCTTAAATTAAAAGGTTTGTAAGGTCACTTTATACGACTTATTTACAAAAGTATTTTAGGAAATGAACCGCTGTAAGCTTAGTTCTCAGACCGTGTGGCGGACCATTTTCGAACTGTGAGAAATTGCTTAAGTGTAAAAATGGACCTTGGCTCTTTTTAGCAGTTGAATTCAAACACATTGTTAATATACTCTTGAAATAGCACAGAGAAATAAGAACGATGTTTAATCGTAAATATCGAAAGTAGCGGAGATAGTATGTAGTGTGTGCACTCCGAGATGCTGTATTGTTGGACTTACAAAAATGACAACTTAGCTCGATGCTCATTTCTTTGTTACTTCGAGTTTACCAGAGTTACGTGCAACACATATTGTTGTTAGTTCGAAGTGCGGTTTTAGATTATTAAATATAGACGTTAAACAGCAACAAATATGTATATTACCCGTAACTCGAAGTTTGGTTTAATCATGATTGCATCATTGCATAGTTTAGGTAGTGCACCGCCATAAAAGCGTAGTAAAAATTTATCACAGTAAATCATTAAAAAAACAGTACATATCAGTTTTTTTTAGCATAGGTCACGGAACAAAGTTCAAGATATGATGAAATGTTCCTGCTACAGGAACCAATTGTGAATCACTCAAAAGACGCATGCTTGATTACTGTTCATGGTCGTTTCGTCACGTGGCAAAATTAGTTTGGTGGCCATATATTTTTAGAGTCGACAAAGGGTGTTTTCGTGAGCTGTAATCAGTTGTTTTTATTTTCGTAATAATGTAATTTAAATAAATAAAAAAACGTAAATTCGTAGACGTAGATGTGTAAAATGTAATTAGCTATTTTATTCGTGTAATTTGTACAAATATCTTATTTTTTTTAAACAACATAAAGCATTTTCCACATTAAATTTTATTCTTCTGAACACAAATGATCAAGTATATTTATAAAAATGTAAAATGTAATTAGGAAATTGTTTTATCTGTAAAAACCTATTTTTTACTGTGAATAAAACTTTTCATTTTATATCCTGTAAAAACGTAAAATGCATTTTTTATTTCCTGTAACCTGTACCAGAATTTCAGAATTTTGAACATTACAGTAATCCAACGCGAAGGGCAAGCGAAAAATTCACACTCTCGTAAATAGTTGCAGCGTCAGCAAAAATAAGAAAGCGTTTATAATCAGTTGATTATGGCCGTAACATTTCTAATTTATTTGACACGTTGGTTTGAGCGTTGTACATGTATCATGCAAAGTGCGTAGTCTGAAAACTGACGAGAGGTCCTGGGTCTTTATGTAGTTTGCATAATCGCGAGGTTTGTCGTCTCGTGGAACGCGTGATGACCCTTTCCCCTTTCGTACACAGCCGTGAATCATACGCCAGTCACTGGGATAGGATGAAGGGAGACGGCAATATGGCGGCTCCATTGGCCTGCATCGAAGACGACGTGGAACAAGGTGAACTGAACAACGATGAGTGGCAAGATTTCCATGACTTCCGTACATCTACCGATGTTTTAAATTCAAATGAACAGTCACCGAACTATTTTGATCACGCCAAGGAAGAAATCAGCGTTGATAATTTCGAGGAAATGCGTTCGTTTTCAATCGAAGATCTTGTCAACAATTTCGACGAGAATCTAGCCAAATGTTTTCGTAATTACAACGAGAAGACAGAGGAAATCGCTCCTGTTCAAATTGTGACACAAGAAGAGATAATGAAAAACTCGCAGTAAGTATTATGTTTTTTTACACAGAAATTTTAATACAGTAATTAAACATGATAAATTAGGACGTGGGTCGAGTGTCGCGTCACAATAATACTAGCAATACTGCAATCAAATGCTTGTCTGATGATGAGACGTCAAGCCACCCGTGACGTAACAATACCGTATATTTTTTATTTCACAAATTAATGAAAGTAACGTTTTCTACAATTCTTGAGTATAAAGGCTTTGAATTACTTGTATATATTGTAACGAAATAGATGCGGGAGACGCCCCATTTTAATGTTTCATTTATTATTCGAGACACGATGAATTGTATCTAGATACTGCTATGTTATTGGTTAGAAATGTTCATATGTAAGTAGTCAGTCAACTGTCGTGGGATTCTATGCCTGTATTACTTGAATATTTAATCACCTTGGGGCCACTTTGGGTTTCCTATAAAACGGTTGAAAAGTGTACTTTGATGATGCAAGTTGAATTTTGGCATTCTTCTTTATATTTCGAAAAAGAAATATTTACTATTAGTTTGTTTAGGTTTCATAATTGTATAAAAATAACAACTAACATGAGCATATGTATGTAGTTCTTATTTTTGTTTAAAATGAGTGAATAAAATAATATTATTTGCCTATTTACACTTGTGCCTAATTTTCTGCTTAGATTAGTCATGAACATTTTATTTTGCAACTTGTGATGTAATTTTCAATTGAATCACCACTGTGTCTGTCTGTCTGTTTGAAAATATCTAAATAAGACTCACACCTTTTTCCTGCAAAAATAGTAATAGTACTTAAAATTAAGTACTTCTTAAATTACATATACCTTTTCCTTAACTAATTCACTCTAATTTCCTGTCTGCAAAAAAATCATTATTATCGCCATCCACCATGTTAAATAAATGGTAATTATGTCTAATACAAAAAATAATGTGTTTACCGGTAATATACATTTCTGTTTCTATCTTAAGCTGGAAGTATTGTAAATGTGAAAGAGTTGACCCATACATCATGTATTCCACTTAAAAAATGTGTATGATGGGTTGGCAACAATTGTCAGATTAATTTTAATTAAAAAATATTACAAAATAAAGTTATACCTGCTTAAGGTGGAGACCTTATTTTTTATTTAAATGTTACCCGAAATATTATTGTAGTTGGCATTTTAGTATCTGTACATGTATGTATATATTTTGCCCTTTACAATGTATAACTAACCGGTAGTAAAGAATAGTATTACCAGTAATTATTTGTGAAATTAAATGTAAATAATGTCTCTATATAGAAAGAAAACAACATCTTATTTATGTATTAAGTTGTATCACAAGTGTTGTGAGTCAGTGAAATTTCAAAGGTCACAGCGATTTTTGGGAAATTTTACCTTGACAACTGCTACTACATCATCAAATCTTGAAAAGTCTTAACAGTAAATTAAATGATTTGCAGTAATCTCTGATATCTGAACAGCCAAATTGTAGTTTTGACAATAAAAATTAAACAAAATTTGACCGTTCAAAATTTCCAAGAAGTATTCAGTAACAGAAAATTTATTTTTAATTTTATTTTCAATGTTGAGTGGCTTGCAAGTGATCTGTGACTGTTTTATGAGTGCATGCTGTTTGAGGAGCATGATCACTCCACTCGCCTATCACTCTGACCAATCAGGACTCACTGAAGCTTATTATTACTCATAATTCAGACCATTTCAGTAAAGAATTTAATAGCAGAGCTCTTCTTTAATCACTGTGCTACTGAGTTCAGGAGACCCATTATATTGGTTTTCCAGCTCTTTTCAGTGGTCACCATTACTATATTACTGTATTTGTTTTATTAGATGTACATCTGTGATAGAAGTGCATATAAACAAAAAATCACATTTAGATACTGAATCATTGAAATAAAAACCCTTCACTAGTCACCAATGGAAACACTTTTGTAACTTACTCATGCTCTACTAATAGAGCAAATACACTATATTTAGTTTTGTAGACGAAAACTAACTTTGCAGTCCAACTACTAAATGTATGCTGATAATAAAAAAAGCAACTTCCTTTGTCTGGGGTAGAGTTTTCTATATTATTCGCATCTCAATCTAACACGCCAGACTTTCTTCAGAGTTCAGAGAAAATGACAACAGAAAGCAATAATTAATAATCAAGCACAAGGATTGATGATATTTAAACACACACAAAATATGTACCGTGTATGAAAGATTGCCAAAAATTTAAACTTAGTAAAGTAAAACTCTGAGGCAGAAAGATGTGATGTTGCTGGGATGGTGGAAAAGGCAAAGTCTACAATAGAACCCTCTAGGCTAAGTGGGAAAGGACATGGTGCAACATTGGAAGGGTGGGATCACCAAACATTTTTGTTATCATTTGGAATAAGTATATTAAATTTTTATTTTCATCTGTTTTCTAATATTATCTTTCTAATATTTGACATACCGTAGTCCTGTGAATTGCAAGTGAGACGTATATTGTTATTGTGAACGTTGAGGTAGCAACGGTTGTAAAACGTATTAAAAATTAATCTGTGTTTTAGGCATTCTACCAGCAATAGATTGTCAGTAGTAATATGGTAGTAGTTAGAAAACAAAGGCACTGGTATTCATAACTTATGATTGGTAGTCCCAAGTTCAAATCCCACCTTTGGCTGAACACCGAAAATCGTCACCCATGCCTTGGGTGAGTGTACCACACACTCAATGGGAAGGCCAATTCCACTGGCCAAGATTTATTCACTAAAGAATGTGACTTTGGGAGAACCTTGGTAAAGTCAGCTAGTGTGTGTGTGTGCAGTGTGTGCTAGTGTAATTGCCATTTGATGGCGAGATGGCTGCACAATTACTCATGTAGTCCCAAATACATCAATGGGAATAGTTCCAAACATGAATATTGCTTCTGTGGCAAAAATGTACCATGTGTCAGCACTAGCATTTGCAATTTGTGCATAAAAAGGAAAAGCCAACAGAGACAACAGTGACTGGCACAAAAACATTTAAAAATAAATAAAATATAAAAAAAAGAAAAGAGGAAACAAAGACACATAATGAGAGACCTAAATGCCATCATTATATAGCAATGAACATCCTGTATAATTCCGGGTCATTCATGTGAAAAAAGTTATATAAAAAGTGGCATTTTGAATAGTAAGAATAGTGAATTAAGCATTGAAATGATGTGTAATTTATTAAAATTTCATACTTAGTATCTTGTCTAAATCACAGTTTAATTTTTAACACTTTTATCCACTACCTTAAAGTGTTCAACAACCAAGTGTCTTGGTTTTTGTGATGAATTATCAATGTTTCAAGATACATTTGCTCATTATATAATATACAGACTGTCACATTTCTGGCATCTAGTGACGTATATAAGGTTATGTGTTAAACATCTCATGTGATCTATGATGAATAATGATTTATTGGTGCAGATACATACCACTCATCAAAATTAAGACCTAATTACTTTAGGGTGGAAATCTATGCATATTATTTGACTTATTTATTTGCATAAATGAGTTCATGTGACCTCATTATAATGAATAACTGTAATATTTCTAGAATGCTACAGATAAAAGAAATGCAACCGGTGCTATAATGAAAGCATCATAAAAAAATGTAGCTTATGTTTCAGATGACCATATATGGTTATGTGGTCTTATTAATATGCAGAATTGTAATATCTTAAGTACTTTTGACAATAAAGACATGCATTGAATACTATAATGATGTTGTCTGACAAGACATGAAATATCAAATCATTGTACATATATATGGTAATGATTTCATTTAACATTTATAATTGTTATATCGTAATCCACTGGGAACCACTCAGATCACTGCTTGTAATTAGATTTTTAAATAAACACATACATGTACATGCTTAAATTTAAATGAGAAAGTTGGGTAAATCAAACTTGCTAAATTCATATAAAATTGAAAGATGCCACTGTAACATATGCTTTATATTAAGCCATACTTTTATGTTTTGCTAATGTTTGATGAAGGGTTAGCTAAAGTCCAAACATAGTCAGGATATTGGTCACTGATTAGTGGGGACCCAGCCATGGGTGTCCAGTGAACAGTTAGTGAAAACCTGGCCATGGGTGACTGGTGAAGTGCTGACGAGAGTCCAGACATTGGTTACGGTGAAGGGCTAGCAAAGATCAAGCTGAATATTTTTGTAATTTTTGGTAAAAAGTGATATTTTTGACTTTCTGTTGAAAACCACAAGACCATTTGCTTTATTAATATTGGTACACATATAGGTACTACAGGTAGACCTCTCTCAGATTTGTTCATTTCATAATGATATATTCAATTCTCTAATTGTGATGAATTTTTTGGTAAAAAGTGATATTTTTGACTTTTAAATCTGTTCCTAGAATCATTTCATTTATTGTAACTGTAGAAATACATGTTTGTGTATAATTCCATGGCAGACATAAATGATTGCTATCAGAGTTTTGTATCAATCCAAGCTGTATTACATGCAAACTACTTTGCTTTTACAATACATGTTCCAGTTGACTTAGAAAGCTTTGATGTTTGCATATACATGTACATTTGTATAAATAGAACTTAAATACAGAAAGTAGTTGTCAACAAACGTTATGTACATTGGATACTATGCACATCTGACACCTGTTTACATATTCCATTTTAATATTTAATATGTGAGATACATGTGTATCATATCAAGTTTGTATCATTCATTATTTGCAGTGCTTTACATTTAACCTGCTCTATTTTGTGTTATAGAATATGGCAACAAGTAACAGGGAAGTATGGCAATGTTATGCCACTAGACTGGAAAAAATCACATGCAAGAAAGCTACAAATGCCAGTGCTTAATCTTAATGACAATAAGGTAATTTAAATTTGTGTCAAGGTTGGGAAAAATGTTTTAAAAGTGTGCTGGTTCTGGGAACAGTTAAATATGTTTAAGAAATGATGTGGTGATGATGATGCATGTTTGTTCTCAACAAACAATTGAAATAAAACTGTGATTCAGATCTATTTTCTTTTGACCATATCCAGTAGTTCATAATGTTCTGAACTAGTCACAGATGAATGAGAATCCAGTAGTTGATAATGTTCTGAATTAGTTACGGATGAATGAGAATCCAGTAGTTGATAATGTTCTGAACTAGTCACAGATGAATGAGAATCTGCTTTTATGTAATGTTTAATTCCTTCATTATGTACTTACTTTTTGTGGAAGTTTGTGGAACTAGAAAATATTTGCTTAGTTTTATTAGTCCCCTCTCAATTTGGACTTATGGATTGAACTCTGTGTGTAAATCTCTGTGACCTATATTTTAGACATGCCTGGACCAATTACATTCAAACTTCACACATACATCATACATCATACATAATATTATACATATGCACATCAATTTGTTTCACGATCTGATTCAAGATGGCCGAATGGCGGCCATTTTTGTGCTGAAAAGTCATCAAAATCAAGCATTTATGGATGGATTTTGTTCAAACTTGGTACATACATTAGGCATTATGGGTTTCTGATGCACATCATTTTATTTTTCAGATTGGATTTAAAATGACTGACTGGCGGCCATTTTGACTGATTATGTTCAAATTTTATTTATTCACTATACATCATGACATATATATGACATATATATATGATGGATATATTAGTTTGACTATCTGATTCAAAACGGCCAAATGGCGGCCGTTTATAGATATATACATGTATTCAAAATGGCTGATTTTGTTAGTCCCCGTTCGGATGCAGTCCGAAAACGGGAACTTATGTTTTGCCCTGTGTGCGTCCGTCCGTCCGTCCGTTCGTGCGTCCGTGCGTCCGTGATCACCTGTATCTCGAACATGCATGGACCGATTGAGTTCAAACTTCACTCATACATCACACATTATATGGGACATATGCACATGCATTTTTTTCATGATCCGATTAACGATAGCCGAATAGCGGCCATTTTAAGGCCGAAAATGC